AGGGCCATGGCTGGTGTCCGGTTGGGAGTGTCGGGCTCCTGCCCGGCTACAGCTGTGCCCCCGGGCCCGGCCCAGGTGGCCTTGGATGGGGCAGTGCAGGCTCCATCTCCCCAGGACTCCGGCGTCTCTCTCTGGAGGCTTGCAGCACCTTGATTGAGGAGATTGTTTACCTTCAGCATTTCTCAGCATCACAGAACAACTGGAGGGAACGCTGGTTCTGCACCCTGCCTCTCACAGGCCTCTAGCTGACTCGCTGGCCCTCGCACACCTGTTACCACCTGTTATAAGCATGCAGAGTCCCAGGCCTCCCCTGGAGATGGAGGCGCAGGCCAGGGCCAGGGAGCCGGGAGCCAGGAGCTGCGGCCCTCTCTCGGCTTCAGGGTCTGAATTGCACAGCAGCAGGAGTTCAGGCTGGTCTCTCATCAGAGGTCCAGGTGGGTGGAGTGTTGGGCAGTCAGCCTGGGGCTGAGGGAGAGGGTGCAGGGCCTGGCCAGGTGAGGCGGAGCTCAGGAGGGCAAGGCGGCCTCCTGACTGTGGGGAGACGGGCAGGGAGCTGGGCACAAGGCAGCTGTTTTGCAAATTCCTGTGTTTCAGGCCTGGGCAGGGCTGGACCTGAAAGGGCCTGGTGTTCAGGCAGGTGGGCGACGCCCGCTGGGCGGCCCTGGCTTGTGCCGTTAGGATAGGAGGTGTCTGTGGCTTTCACTCAGCCCCTGTGTAAACTCTCTGCTCGATTCCTCCCCTAGCCAGCCAGCCCCTCAGGGCTGGACACTTCCTCCCTCCTCCTTCCTTCCTCCCTCATCAATGATGAGAGAGAATCACTGATCGGCTGCTTCCTGCACACCCCACACTGGGGATGGAGACAGCAACCCGGGCAGCTGCCCTGACCAGGAATCAAACCATGACCATCTGGTTCGTAGGTTGACGCTCAACCACTGAGCCATGCCAGCGGGGCGAAAGGCACATAATTTTAAATTATCAAGTAGAAGAGAATAGCTTCACACTGTGGGTGTCACACGCATGAGCCGGCTGTGAACCCACCTTGGACCCCATCACGCCTTGCAGCAGCGTCATGTTGAGTCAGCAGGTCTCAGAGATGAGCTGTGGAGCTGGATCGCTCAGTGTGAACCGGCTGCAAGTGCCACGGCCACGGAGACGATCCAGAAAGCAGAGTCTGTCTGTGCAAATGGACTCAGGAGAATGAAAGGCAGCCCCGAGGTCCAGGGCACACAGGGCGGACATGGGAGGGGAACGTTTGGAGAGGAACGCCCTGTCCACGATCAGTGCCAGATGCTGAGTGGGCGCCATCAGTGGGTGTCTTCACTTGGGTCCGGGGGGCAGGCTCTAGAACAAGGGGAACAGTGCACGTGGGGTCTCCGCCCGCTGCTGGGTTTGGGGTATTTGCTGTGCTGCTTCCACGGGACCACACGCTCCCTCAGAGCATGATGGAGGCAAAGCAAGAGCGTGGCCTCCTGAGCCTCTGGGTTCTTCATGGATTTGGATGTTCCTAGCAAAAAGGGCACCTTGGGGAACCACTGCGTTAAATAGCCCCGGAGACGTGTCACACCACACGCTGCCCCTCCCGGCTGCTGGGACGGGCATTCACAGGTTTGGAGATGATGATGCTTGGAGCTTTCTGACATTGTATTTCCTCCCCATGATGAAAGAGGTCACGTGTGCGGGACCCATCGGGCCTTTGCAGAGCTCGTGGTCAGTGAGGAGATGCACGGAGGCTCAGGATTCTTCACCTGCAGGACGAGGACACACTACCTTCTCGGGTCACACTCCTCCTCCTCCTCATTCCTGTGAGGCCTGAGTGCAAGCATGCTTGAGAGGGGCTTAGCATAGCACCCAGAACGCAGCAATGATGACATCATAAATCATTAAATAAATAGGGTTTTTTGAGGGAACCATTAGATTTCTCTGAATGTATGGATTTTAAGATGCGGGGTGGGCCCTAGCCGGTTTGGCCCAGTGGATAAAGTGTTGGCCTACAGACTGAAGGGTACCAGGTTTGATTCCGGTCAGGGCACATGCCTGGGTTGCAGGCTCGATCCCCAGTTGGGGGCGTGCAGGAGGCAGCCGATCAATGATTCTCTCTCATCATTGATGTTTCTGTCTCTCACTCCCTCTCCCTTTCTCTCTGAAATCAAGAAAAAAAAGGAAAAACAAGATGCTGGGTGAGCTGGTTGGAATTCAAGGGTATAATGACTAAGGTGTGACAAAGGCTACTGTGCAGATTTGGAAAGTGGCCACTTTGTTTGGACACGATCTGCTGGAGAAACTGCACCAGGCAGGGTGTCCGGGAGGCAGGCAGGCAGGGGCTCTGGTCTGGGAGAGGAGTGGCTGCAGGTGCTGCTGTGGGAACAGCATCCCGTAGAGACGGTCCAGGTGTGCACAGACCAGGCGACTGTAGTAACTTGTCTCCTTTGCTTTCTCAGCTCTTCCATGTGGCCTATGTTTTAATCAAATTCGCCAATTCTCCCCGCCCTGACCTCTGGGTCTTGGAGAGATCGGTGGACTTTGGGAGCACCTACTCACCTTGGCAATATTTCGCTCGTAAGTAACCTCGCCTGCCAGGCTTCAATTATCTGCACAGATTTAGACCTTGGATTTCACTGTAAAATTTGTCTCTTCACTGGCTAATTAAGGATTGGTCAGTTTTAACGTTCGAGGTTACCCCCCAAACAGCCCTTTTTCTCAAGTAGTGCACATTCATCACAAGAACCACGCAGAACTGAGGCTGAAATGCCTGTTATGTTAACAGTTCCTGCCACTGTTTAGGGAGAAGCAACCGTTTTCCTTTTATGCAGAATTAGGAACCCAGTTTCGCCTTTAGGGACCCTGCCTTTCACCTAACTCACCTTGACCCTGTCGTCTTCGCTAACAAAGAATGTCAGTGTGATGAGCCCTCTGATGGATTGAGGTGGACAGGAATGTGGCTTGCAAAGGCCTTGGGATTTCCGTGAATGCTCCTTAGAGGGTAGACTTGTTTAATAAGGAGGACTTAGAACCGCATCTCCAAACATTGCTTTTAAAGGTCAAGTGGCCTGAAATGGCTCGGTATTTTCTTTCATGACCTAAAAACGTCAGTCTAAGCTTCTGTCTAAAATGTTCAGTGCTTGTCTGTTCTTTCCCATTCACGTATTTTCCTAAGGAGACGTAAGGTTTCTTCAGAGATTTACGCAAGGGGATCATATTTTATTTGCCAGTATTAAAATGTTTCCTTTCTAGATTCTAAAGCAGACTGTTGGCAACAATTTGGGCGGGCGGCCAACACGGCCATCACCCGAGATGACGACGTGCTCTGCACCACGGACTACTCCCGGGTCGTGCCTTTGGAAAATGGCGAGGTAAGTGGATTTGGGAGGCCGTGAAGGATGAGACCAGAAACGCACACGAGGATATCAAATTCTTCATTTTGAAAGAACTGTGAAAATGCTCTTTCAAGGAGAGCTGACACAGACCACAACGGGAACCAGTACTTGGGACTAACTGGTACAAGGATCACATCGAAGACTCTGGTCAACGATTCTCTCTCATCATTGACAAGTTGGATTGCAAATTCTTGTTATTATTTTATTATTGAGGTATAATTGACATCAGACATTCTACTCGGGGTCTCTAATTCTCCTCTGGGAGTCAGCATTTCAAATTCAAGACCCGTAGGTCCTGAACCCTCTATTCTGTTTTGTTTTGTTTTTCTTTTTCATTTATTTTTTCTTTCTTTTTGAACTCTCTATTCTGGAGGAATATTTAGAAAGTGGGTTGCTGGTGATTGAGGTGAAGCCCTGCCCACTGCTTCCCAGACACGTTATCCCAGGAGTGAGAGTGAGGAGAGGGGAGGGGCAGCACGCATCCCCGACTCCTCGGGCAGGTGGGCACCCTCTGTGGGGAGGGAAAGGACTGTTGTCTTTGGGAGCTGCGCTTGCCCTTGTGCAGGCAGCCACACTGTTGTTGGAGGAGACGGGAAACAGGTGGGGATATCAGACAAATTCCAGGAAACTGAGGCCATCGGAACTTGAAGTGAGTGTGAAATATGCTTCTCCCAGGGGTGCTGGCCACCCCTCTTCGGGTGGAATGGTCTTCATGAGCAGCTGTAGCCAGTGTCTCACAATGAGTGGTTCATGCCCCCATGGTTGTCCAGCTCCTCGAGCTTGAAGATAAAACCCTGGTTTTGTAAGTACTTCATCCCCTTTACATGCAGAGGCTTCCTCTTCAACCTCCTTTAGGTGTTTAGGTTCCGTCAGCTGTTTCTTTGGTGCAGCTTGACAAGAAGTTTATATATTTTATATATTTTAACCTTATACTTTCACCGTGTCACGGCCTCACAGCCCCACAGCTACCCCGATAGAACAACGGGTTTGGAAGCACCTGAGAGCCCAGTTTAAGGACAGGTTGCCAGAATTCGAAGGGGAGGGGGACTAGCAATGATGCTTTTAGACATAAACAAGACACAAGACCACCTGCACACACCTGGTGGCTCAGGCAGACCTAGTGCCTTCGGGCCTGTGAGTCATTTATAGTGACTTGCAGCGAAGTTTTGATGAAAGGACTTTCCCCCTGTGTGTGTGTGTGGTTATTTAGGTTGTGGTGTCCTTGATAAACGGTCGTCCAGGTGCAAGAAACTTCACTTTCTCCAACACCCTGCGGGAGTTCACCCAGGCAACAAACATCCGCTTGCGCTTTCTCCGAACCAACACACTCCTGGGACACCTCATCTCCAAAGCACAGCGGGACCCCACCGTCACCAGGCGGGTGAGTCATGCTGAAGGGCCTACGGCAGCATTTTTTTAAAACTCTTTTTGTTTTTGCTTATCAAATTAATTGCCTTGAACTCTTTCAAGTAACCTTTACAGCCAGGAACAGTGTAGGCGTAGACTTGCTCTGGTCTGAATGACTAGATGTAACTTAGACGTCTGGTTGTGGAGGAGAAATGATTACATTCGAAGAAGATGAAAGGCCGGGGTGACAGCTGGCCGGGTGTCAGTCTGATTCTATAACAGACTCCCCAAGGCTCACTTTTTTGCTGTCGAATGTGCTCAGCAGGTGGGGTCGGCTCCACAAAATCACTCAGGGAACCGGATTCTTTTTATTTAAAGGCGCAGCCACCCTGTAGGGCCCCAGAGTCCTCCTCGGGATCCTCTACATCTGGTCAGCAGATGCGGGGAGAGAGAGAGGGTGGGGAAGACCCCCAGGCTCCCAACCACACAGGTCACTGCCACTGGCCGGAGCTGTGTGTAGCCCCACCAGATGCAGGGCTGGTGTGTGACCTGGCCAGATAGAGGAGACATGGGTGTGTGAGCACCATGCTCCTCTGTGTGGGGTGTCTGGCCTGCACATCCCTCAGTCTAGTGTCAGGACAGCACCCCGTCTCCTGGGCACAGATACCCTGAGCTCATTCTTCTGCCGCCCACGGATCTCCTGCCAGGGTCCCCCACTGGCCAAACCCAACCCAAAGCCAGGGAGCAGGAGACCCAGCTGCAACCCATAAAGGTCAGCCTGGGCAAAGGGCAGGTGAGAAAGGAGGAGAGTGGGCGTGGAAGGGTGATGGGAGATGCCCAGCATCTTAGAGGCCTTGGCCTCAGAGGTAAGTGCATCAGGGAGCTGGGAAGGAAGAGAGGAGAGTGAGGTTTGCTCCAGTTTTAGCATTTCCAGGAAGGCTGTCTCGTGGGTGCGGTGGCTTGTGTTCTGCATTTCCTGTGCCATCAGCCCTCGGAGCAGCCGTATGTGGAACCCGTCCTGGGTCCGAGGATGGAATCTGCAAGGGAGAGCTGGGCTGTCCGATAAACTCTGGCCGGACTGCGTCCATTCCTCCGGGCATTCTGAAGCCCTGCTACGAGTGGACCTCACCACCCTTTATTTATTTATCTGTGGGTGTGTTTTTTTTGGGGGTGGGTGGGTGGAGGGGTTCCAAGATTTGTACTCACGTGTAAGCATATTTCTCTTCACTTAAGTGAATGAGTCTTCTCTATTAAGAAGCGTTGTTAAAGAATATGTTTTTATTGACTTTAGAGAGAGGACGGGAGAAGGAGAGAGAGAGATAGAAACATCAGTGATGAGAGAGAATCATTGATCAGCTGCCTCCTGCAGGCCCCACAGCGGGGATCGAGCCCACAACCCAGGCATGTGCCCTGACCCGGAATCAAACCTGACCTGGTTCATAGGTCGCACTCAACCACTGAGCCATGCCAGCCGGGCTTAATCCCTTTTTAAAAGGCTATAGGGTATGATTCTTTTCCCAAGGCAGTTTCCCTCCATTCTTTTAAAGCATTTCATTTTTTAAAAGGTACAGATTCAGCATCATGCTGTTAAATTTGATTGAGGAATGCACTTGTTTCATAAGACAAATAACACCCACAGTGGCTCCCGTGGGGTTGAGGTGGGCTCACGGGAGCAGGAAGAGAGCGGAACAGGGCCAGCATAGATGCGCCTGAGAGACGGGTAAAGGCTTGTTGCTCTTCCGTAAGCGGCACGTCTGTTTTCTGTCACACAGTATTATTACAGCATCAAGGACATCAGCGTTGGTGGGCGCTGTGCGTGCAACGGCCATGCCGACGTGTGCAGTGCAGACAACCCTGAAAAAGTGTGAGTACCTCGTGCAGCGTTGCCAGCCTTGCTGTGAGCCAGTCCAACTGTTTCAGTGATGGTTGCATCCCATTAAGTATCTCTCATTCCCACCTCCACCCGCCTGTCCCCCCGCCAGATGGTGCCCCCAGCGGGCACAGCCCACTGATTGGAGTTGCCAAGAGAAATAGAACTGGTTTGTCATCCTTGCTTTAGTGGGACCAAGGGTGTACATGTTCAAATCCTTCTCCCTCCCTCTTTTTTATTTTGGTAAAATGCACATAGAGTTTAGAATCTTTTTAAAAAATATATTTTTACTAGAGGCCCGGTGCATGAAATCGTGCACTGGGGGGGTGGGGTTCCCTCAGCCCAGCCTGCCCCTCTCACAGTCTAGTCTGGGAGCCCTCAGTGGATGTCCTACTGACGGCCACAGTCTGGCAGCAGAGGTTCGGAGCAGGCGTTCTGTGTGTGTGTGTGTGTGTGTGTGTGTGTGTGTGTGTGTGTGAGTGTGTGTGTGTGTGTGAGTGTGTGTGTGTCCACTGGGGGCCTGCCCCCAGCCGCATTGGAGGCTCAGAGCAGGTGGTGTGTGTGTGTGTGTGTGTGTCTGCTGGAGGCCTGCCCCCAGCCACACGTGGAGGCTTGGAGCAGGCACCCCTCTGTGTTGATCTCTCAGGCTCATGGCCTCCACTGCGTGTTTTTCTCTCCCTTGAGCTGTGGCCAGGGTGGGGTGCTGCCTGCAGGCTGCGCTTTCCTGCTCATGGATCACCGGATCACTGCAGAGACCAGGGGCAGGTTCTGCTGGGTGCTGCCTGTGGGGAACTTTCCTGCTCTGGGATCGCCATGGGGTCCCAGCTGGCAGCGGGGCTTAGGCGGCACACGGGGGTCCCGGCTGGTGTGGGGCTTAGGTGACGCGATCGTGCCACCTAAGCCTGGCCGCCCAGGGCCACACACGGGAGCCCGGATGGCGTCTGGTGCTGGCCAGCCCTTCCTGTAGTATGCAAATTAGCCGTATGCATCTTTGATGGCGGTTAATTTGCATATGGCGCTGATTAGCCAATGGGAGGCGTATTGAAGGTATGGTCAATTACCATGTTTGTCTATTATTAGATAGGATTGATTTCAGAGAGGAAGGGTAAGAGAGAGAGAGAAACATCAATGAGAGAGAATCATTGATGGGCTGCCTCCTGCACGCCCCCTACTAGGAATCAAGCCCACAACTCGGGCATGTGCCCGACAGGGAACGGAGCCATGACCTCTTTTTCATAGGTCGATGCTCAACCACTGAGCCACGCCAGCTGGGCCCACCCAGTGTTTTCATCTCTCTGCATCTTGTGTCCACATCTGTAAAATGCAGACAATTGCAGGACAGGGGAGCCGTGAGTGATCCATGCAGAGAGCTTCGTTTCCATAATTACTCAATAAAGCGTTCCCTGGGTGACCTGATGACCGTGAGTTTTCTGCCAGGAGACGCCGACCTTAGTGTGAACCCTCGGTAACCGATGCGCTTCACCTCCTGCCCAGGTTCCGGTGTGAATGCCGCCACCACACCTGCGGGGAGACCTGTGACCGCTGCTGTCCCGGGCATCACCAGAGGCGCTGGCAGCTGGCCACGTGGGGGCACAGCCACGAGTGCGAAGGTGAGCGTGGGGGCGGATCTGGGGTGAGGCTTGCCCAACACCCCCCCATCTCTACCTGTGGACCCGCCCAACACCCCCATTTCTACCTGAGGACCCACCCAACACCCCCCATCTCTACCTGAGGACCCTCCCAACATCTCCCATCTCTACCTGAGGACCCACCCAACACCCCCCATCTCTACCTGAGGACCCACCCAACACCCCCATTTCTACCTAAGGACCCGCCCAACATCCCCATCTCTACCTGAGCTGTGTTTTCCCTGCTTGTGAAGAGGGGGGTGGATCACGCCAATCTCAGGGTCACAGGTCTTTCTAGTGTAATGAGTAACTCACAAGAGTGGAGGTGTGAGGGCCCCACTCCAAATTCAGACATAAATGTGAGAACAGAAATAACAATGGCCCAGCAGGTGTGGCTCAGTGGTTGAGCGTTGACTTATGAACCAGGAGATCCTGGTTCGAGTCTCAGTCAGGGCACATGCCCAGGTTGTTGGCTTGATCCCCGGTGGGGGGCCTGCAGGAGGCAGCCAATCGATGTATCTCTCTAATCAATATTTCTCTCTCTCCCTTCCTCTCTCTAAAATCAATAAAAATATATTTTAAAAAAGAAACATCACCAGTAATAACGTTTACTATGATTAGGCGTTCACTCAATGCAAGGATTGGGCCGAGTGCTTTAACATAAGCTGGCCTCTTTAACAGTCTAGGACAGGGGTGGGCAAACTTTTTGACTCGAGGGACACAATGGGTTCTTAAACTGGACCGGAGGGCCGGAACAAAAGCATGGATGGAGTGTTTGTGTGAACTAATATAAATTCAAAGTAAACATCATTACATAAAAGGGTACGGTCTTTTTTTTTTTAGTTTTATTCATTTCAAATGGGCCGAATCCGGCCCGCGGGCCGTAGTTTGCCCATGGCTGGTCTAGGACACGATGCAGCCACTATTGAATTTCAATCCTCATCATTTCTTAGGATGTGATACTGGGTTGGAACCCTAACTCTTTTGAGGACCGAGGTCTGGAGAAGGTGGTGAGATTGGCGGCTAAGCAGAGAGCTGGGCGCATTGAGGGAGCAGTGGGGGTTTGAGGGTTAGGGTTAGGGTTACAGACTGGACTTTGTGTAAAAGTCCCTAAGATTTCCCACTGAGGGTTCCCCTGGGGTCCCGGAAGAGGCGGTGCTGTAGCTCACTAGGCAGCCGTGCTCTGGGGGCGGCTCATGCATAGGGGTGAGGCTGACTGAGCCTCCCACAGCCATGATGTGCATTCACCTGGGGTGCCCTTTGCAGCCTGCAACTGCCATGGCCACGCTGCCGACTGCTTCTACGACCCGGACGTGGAGCGGCAGCAGGCGAGCCTGGACATCCGCGGCGTCTATGCAGGTGGAGGGGTCTGCATCAACTGTCAGGTGAGGCGCTGGGCAAGTTGAGTGGGGGTGTCACTGTAGGAAATGACATCATTAAGCTCTGCTCCCCAAAAGATGCCAAGGCCGTTCTGAGCATTGGAAGTGTTTTCTGGAATCACCTCTCCACTCTGTGCACCACGTCCTCGTGAGCTGGCTGTCCCGTGGGGTGGCAGGGGACACGGACTGAGGTATGTTTGTCCAGGCGCCAGCGATCAGGTTCCTTACGTGATCTTGGCCTAAATGGGAGAAGTCCTGGCTGCTCCAGCTCATGGTGTGAAGGCTCTGAAGCTGGAGGGAAAAAGGGCTGACCTCAGTGCTGGCCCTGCTCCTCTGTTCAGACAGTTTTGAATCTAGACTCGGCGAGAAAGGGCAGCAGGATCGAGTAATGACGTCTGCCATCGGCACCAAGTATGAAACACTTTGGGGTCAGTGGGGTTCACTGGACATTAGCCAAGAGGAGGGTCTAATGAGTTTGGACTATGTCGTCCCTCAGTCCTGGTGCTTTTAGAGTGATGCTTTGTCAAAGTCGCCATCAAAGAGATCGTCTCTTCATGAGGTGCCCATTTCTATCAGACCAGGGCCACACGGGCCGAGAGAGACCCACCGCTCTCCCCCACCTCCCACTCCACACACTCCACAGCCTGTCCTTGCAGGGAACTAAACTACAAATAAACGGTGAGGCATAGGTTTGTTCAAGTCATAGGGAGGGTTTCATGCATAAGTGAGGTCCCGGGTTCTGGTCAAGCGATGCACTCCAAGGCCCTCAGTAATGTGTATGGAATTAAATTGCGGAAATAACTTTGTATGAAATTAAGCTGTGGAAATAGAATCGCGGAAGCACTGGGGGACGAGGAGGTGGGATGCTTCTCCAGTGAAGGGCCAGCCCCTCAGTGAGTCTTTAGGACACGTCGTTCCTGCTCTTCCTTCTCTCAGTCACACTACGTTTTGTACTTTGCGGTTCCAGGAAGACATCAAGATAGAATTTTATTTTTTTCAGAATGGCCCTGCAAAAGCATTTTTCTTTTGTATGTAGATTATTGAAGTCTTGTTTAGGTTCATTGCATTTTTTTTCCAACGTGAATTTAAAATGCCTTTGTTTAAGTTAGGTACTTGGCAGTTTATTTTGAAATGCATCAAGTAAGATGGACTGGTGGATGGATAGGGAACGAGACGACGGATAATTCTGTGATAAAACAAATACAGTAAAATCTCTCCATAGGGCATGCATAGGTGTTCACTGGAAAACTTTTATTTTTTATAATAAAATTCGGGGCGGGGAGAGCAATGAAAGAAGGCAAGGAACACAACATTTTGGGGGGGGGGGGTTTGACTCCCTTTAGTAAAATATTGATGTTCTTTTTTTAAATATATTGTTTTGATTTCATGGAGAAAGGGAGAGGGAGAGAGAGATAGAAACAAAAATGATGAGAGAGAATTATTGATCGGCTGCCTGGGGGAGAGTTCCAGGTGGAGGGGACGGCAGGGGATGAGCAGGGGTGGACAGGTCAGAGGTCAGAGGCCAGGTCGTGGCCGTAGGAAGGGAAGTCAGGCTTTGCAGGAAGAGTGTGGCCAGCAGTGGCCAGCAGCGGTCTCCATGTGCTTGAAGTTCTCAGGATTGGACATCAGCAGCGTGTGTGGGTTGGTCAGGGACTGAGCGACAGGGAGGTGGGTTTTACCTGAAGATGGAAAGCACCTCGGAAAAGGTTTGCTTAGAGGATTAGGACGGAAGGATGGTCGGATAAGGGCCGGGTTTCTGGATGAGCGTTCCTAGCTTCTCTGGGAGGTGCCAGAGGAGGGGTGTCTGTGGGGTCAGTTAACTCCTGCACGGATTCCCTTTGTGCCCAGCCCGCTCCTTGGCTTGAAAGCTGCAGTTTTCTCATTGTGTTAAGTGTCAGGTAAATGCAAATTCAGTGCCCACTCCCCGGGTGAGGTGGCTTCTTCAGTGCTTCCTGTAGAAACCAGGGAGCCGCGATCTTTACGTCTCCATCGGCCTTGGTCCAGCCATGACCTTGGGTGTCCAGAGGTCACCTCTGGGTGCGGTGTGGGCCCCGCACGACACCTGCGACCTGGAGGCCGACTGCAGCATCATCCATCTTCTGGCGATTTGTCGTCTTTCGGTCGCTTGTTGCTGCGTTTTGTGTCTTAAAACTGCACCTTCTCTGTGGCCAGTGCTTCATCGCCCGAACTTTCTGGGAGAAGGGAAAGCCCGGGCTCCACACTTTGGGGGACGTCTCCTCATTTCCTCTCCGACGGGCACACTGGGAGCCCAGGCTGCCCCGTGTCCTGGGTCTGTTCTCAGCCACAGAGTCGAGGGGTGAACTGGCCTTGGGTGGGAAGGGGGTGGGCCACAGCTGTTTCTTGTTTGCCCAATGCGTGCGCATCTAAGTGTGAAGTCAGAGCAGTGGCCCGTGTGGTTTTAGGCCTCAGTGTTGAAGTGCATTCAGAGTTTCGCCCACAGGACAAGGAGTGGAAATAACTGAAAGCCCGGAGTTAATAAAATCGTCTGAGACGGGGGAGAGGATACAGAAAGGGCCTTGTCCTCCCCTCTGGGCTTCTGTGCAGCCTCTTTGTGGGTCCGAGCGTTCTGGTGGTTCTTTTTGACTCCCAGTCGCCTCTCCTTTTGTTACTGAAGGAACAGTGTCCTCCCAGTTGTTTCCACGTTGGAGAGCAGGAGAGGCAGGGCTGAGCTGGGCCCGTGCTGGGTGGTCCTTGGAAACTGGTGACGCATGTTGCGTAATTAGGTTCTGTGGCAATTAAGAGGGTTAATCATGAAATAGAAAAAGCCGCCTCGTATTATTATCCTTTAAAACGAGTTCTGTGTGGGAGGCTCCTGCCTACCTTTTCCATTCACGTAACAGACATGTTTGGGAAGCGGTTCCATGACTGAAGCACAGGTAACATGAGAACGGCGGGAGGAGAGGATGAGTGTGTGTGCTTTCTTCCCAACACCGAGAAGATGAAAACACACGTGACTGTTTACTCCTTGGGCCAAACGAAGGGTCGTCTACTGTCCGTCCTTCTTCTGAATAAAGTTTGAATTGTGGCCCTCTCTCACTCAAAGGCCAGGTGGCTCATTAGCAAGTCCCTGTGATGGAGGAAAGCTGGGTTGTCCAGTTCGTGGAACTTACTCATTTCCTCTCCAAAGGGGAAAATCCACAGCCAGTGGGAGCCAGTGTCCTGTGGTAAATCTTGGAGACTCCAGGCCAAGATCAGTCCTTTTTTGTTGTGTGTTTTATGTGCGTGACTTTGAAATTGCACGTGCACACGATAGAGTTATTCCTCTGGGCGAACAGTGTGAGGTCGGACCTGCTCAGGGCCCTGCCTCTGCATCTCTCTTTCTTCCCAGCACAACACGGCGGGCATAAACTGCGAGCAGTGCGCCAAGGGCTATTTCCGCCCCCACGGCGTGCCGGTGGAGGCCCCCCACGGCTGCATCCGTAAGTTGCATTTCAACCTGGTGCCTCTTGGGCGGGTGTGCTGCTCCGGGGAGGCCACAGGCTCCGTTCCCATCAGCCACTAGTCCCCTCTTTCCCTCTTTCTTCATATTGTTGGTTCACTCCTTCCTGTGTGACCACAGGCAGTTACATAACCTCTCTGAGCCTCAGGTTTCTTATATATAAAAATAGAAACGATCATATATTCCCTAAGATGAAGTGAAATGCCCTCGAAAGTGCCTGGGAAAACACTAACCATTGGGCTATCGCATTCTGGGCCTGCAGCCAATGGCAGCGCCTCTATTTCCTCTTGTTTCAACACGTTTCTTTTTTAAAAAAATGTTTTTATTGATTTCAGAGAGAAAGGGAGAGAAAGAAACATCAATGAGGAGAGAGAACCACTGATTGGCTGCCTCCTGCACGCCCCCTACTGGGAATGGAGCCCACAACCCGGGCATGGGCCCTGACTGGGAATTGAACGGTTACCTCCTGGTTCATAGTTGATGCTCAACTGCTGAGCCACACCGGCCGGCCTTATCATGTTTCTACAATGTCCAATAGTTTTAAATTTTTTTCAGAAGCAGCATCAAGACAACATAGTAAAAATTTTACAAGAATTTAGTGATAGTCCTAATATTTAAAAGAGCTTTGATTTATCAAGCGTTTGCTCTATGCGAGGCGTTGCCTAAATACTTTCACGTGTGTCTTATTTAATAAATTTCGGGCATTGTAGACTGATTCTGTGTTTAGATGTGGGGAAACCAAAGGGCCTGCATATTTTGGCCCAGGTGACAAAGCCAGCACCTGGCGGGTCCAGGAAGCAGTTCACACCTGTCTGGCGTCCCCGGGCTCTCCTAGCTCCACGGCCGGAAGGAT